ATGTGGATTATTTAAACTAGACGTCTTATATTGTCTACTTGTGCGTTTATTCTTAGATTTTCAATAATAAATTATAAGAATAAAAAATTCCCGAAAAATGCTGGCAAAAAGGTGCGCAAGAGCCAATCAAATTCGAGAATCGATGCGTAGATCATTCTAGAACCCGATTTCCTAATTCGGTATATCCCCTGACTGTATTCAAATTGTAAAAATCCGCCCATATGAAACCCCGAATAATCCACTTTTCTTGGGTTTGATTGGTTAAAAATTTATTAATCAATCAGATTTAAAATTTGACTAATTTTAATTTTAATTACATATAAACGTTTGCAAACATCACATGTGACAAGTAAAAATTGACACATGGCCAAAAAAAGAATCAAATCATGTGAGTTTTCAAGATATATGTTCTTCATAAAGTTGTATCAATCTATTTCTTAAATACTGGAAATTAAAATCAGCAATTTTGGTAAATGTCGGATCTAGAGAATCACGAAGAAATAACCGAACAAATAGAAAATTTCGGCAAAGACGAGGTGGAATTGAAATTAGGCAGTACTTTTAGTAACACAAAGGATTTATCGATAGATTTATCTTTTCGCAGACTTGTTTGTAAGAGGTTCACGTTTGACATTTAATCATATAAATTTTGATGCATTAATTCAATTTTGTTATTCGTTAATTTTTAATACCATTAGTCGATAATGAAGACGATTACAATAAAATAGATTTTTCAAAGCCAGCAGAGATGGAACTAGGTCAAGGCGAAGAAAGTTTTAAGGTTTCCTTTAGTGGAAAGAGGGTTAGTAAATGTATTAGGTTGTTACAGTGTGTAGCTGACTTCTGTGAGCATTTGACTTTTACAAATTAATCGTAAATTTGTTGGTTGACTATCGTAGGATGACGAAATGCATATATTTGCAGGTATGCGATATGAAAATAATAAGGAAGATGTAGATGAAGATTCAGAAAGACGCTGCCTGTTGATTTACGATGAAAATACTCATGTTCGCACAACTTCATTAAATCCTTCAATCCTCACTTTTGAAATAAGATCCTAATTGTTATATATTTTCATAAATCGTGCAGACGTGGACTTTAGAATGCGTTGATTATAATTATAATGTTGGCACAGACGGAGATTACGGATCTGATATTGAATTTGATGATTATGAACGTCAATTTGAAACATCGATGCAAGATGAAGATCAGGGTGAATTCGCTGATGAATTTGATGCAAATGCTGAAGACATTGAGGATGAATTCATAGAAGAATATAACGGAAATGGTATAACAAATGGAATACATGATGAAAATGGGTATGAAGGAGGAAATAGTGAGGATGAATTGATGGATGACGATGCTTTTGTGGAAGTTGAAAACCCATTACAACCTTCCGCTCTTGGAGTCACAAATGTACTCGACGAAGAGATAATAAAAAATGATACAGAATCCTCAGGCACTTCATCGGGAAGTAGCTCGTCTTCTGTATCAGGATCTGAATCAGGAGATGATGATGGATCAGATTCTACGGGCTCGGAATTAGAATCAGATCTCGACCTCAAAAACTTGGAAGCTGATTTAGAGGCACAATTAACTGAAGCACCCAATGATGACATAGTGAAAACGAATGGCGTAAATCGAAAGACAAATCCTTCAGTAAGCACTGTTAAACTTCAAAAGTTTATGCAATATTTTTAAATTTGATTATTTATTTTGTTTTCTATGGTAACACAGTCCGGCAGACCAGGGGGACCTATATCATTGACAGAATTATTTGGTGGAACAGGTTCGATAAAAAGCTTCATTGTATACTGTATTTACAACTAATTGTAAATTCTGAGATTATTAAATGCTTGTATTAAATCAGGCAATGAACATGAACAAGATGATGAAAGTGGATCATCATCGGCAAGCGATTGATGTATTCCAGCGAAGGTTTTACTAAAAATAGACAGTGTCGATCGCAACAGAACGTCGATCTAAATTTCCTAGACATTTCAGTTGTACAAAAATCCACATGTAATTGGCGGCTTTTAAAATGAAAAAAAAAAACCAAAATTAAATTTATTATAATGTATTGCAATGTATAAACGAAAATTCATTAATAAAAAAATCATTTAAATTTACTAAAACTTAAAATTGCAGAAATTTTATATCGTTAACAAATTAAAATTAATTTATTTAGTATTAATATTGTATTTAATATCATACAAGATATGTATATATTAATAGGTTTTATAATAAAATTTAAAGTTATAGAATTTAATTATATATAAAAAATACAGATTTAAATATTAATGTTAAAAATATTAGGAAATATATTTATAATAGTTATTATGCTGTATAGCAAACCTATGTAGTTGGCTAATAAAATTTAGAGTTAGGGTTTAGATTATATGGGCTGAGTGCAATAGAAAAGGGGGAAATCAACAAAAAAAAAGATCTTCAGAAAATCAATTTTTATGTTATAAATTTTATAATAAATCATA